TGTCAGAGCCAAGGCTGACCACTCAGGCCTGGAAACCGGGGTGGGACGACCGGGGGGGGGGACCAGCAAGACGTTGACAGAAGACAGAGAAGACACGGTGGGCAGAGCAGCAGAGCTGGGAAATGGAGGCAGCTGGCACGCGCGGTGGCTGGAGCGGGAGGTCTCAGGTCTGCAGACGACGTGGGGGCGCAGCACGGGGACCATGTGAAGGCTGGGAAGACCCAGAGCCCAGGACTGCCAGCCAGATCTCCGCCTGCGGCCTCCTGTGGGCAGGATGCTTCTAAGATGGTCCCAAAGACGTCTCCCTCCCAGAACTCAGGGTGGCCACGTCCGATCAGATCACGCGATCACGGATGCCAGCTTCCCAGCAGACTGTCCTCCTGTGGCAGGCGAGTTGCTGTGTCGGGAGTCCCCCCCGCCCCCCATCAAGGAGCTCGGTTCTGGCCAGCGCAAAAATAAGGCCTTCAGTCTAAGAGGCTCCCAGGAGCTGGTTCAGCCCACAGCCACTCGGACCTGGATGTGGACCCTTCCCTCGTTGAGCCTTCAGATGAGACCTGCCCCAGCCAGTCCCTCGAGCGCCATCTGTGAGCCCCTCTGCGGCCCAGAGCCCAGGCCAAGCCACGCATGTGTTCCTGACCCACAGAAGCTGCGAGATGTTGTACACGTATCATTTCAAGCCACTAAGTTTGTGACCATTTGTTATGCGGCAGTAGACAGGTAGCCGATACGCTCCCGTGTGCCTCGGCGTCCTCACAGCGCAGAACTCTGGAGCGACTCAAGTTTAAGGGTTACAGTTAAACCGCAAGCCCTCCCACATTCAAAGTGGGAGGAGGACACAGGGAGGAACACCAAGGTCACCCTGTGGAAGGGGATGCACAGGGCGCCGCGGTCGTTTTTTGGAAAATACGCTCTGACACAGCCTGTCCTTGGGCCGAAGCAACTCACAGGCCTCCGGCGTGCAAAACACACTCACCCGCCCCCAAGCCCCTGAACGTGTCTGGTCCGCATGCTTTGGGCCCAGACTCCAGGTGCAGGATCTCCTCTAGTCCTTGAGGCCACCTGCTGCAGATGGGTCTGGGGGAGGGGGGTGCTCCTCACGTCCTCTGTCCTGCCTGCGGCTGTTCTCTGAGTCATGCTTCCTCTTTCATAAGAAAACAGTTTGCAACTGAATAGCTTTCTCAGCCCACCTCTTCCTCTAAAAGGCTGAGAGTCCAAAAGCCTCTTTTTCATTTTGCCTCCTCTTGATCCCAGTTAGTCCAAACCTAATTCCTTTAAAAGCTCAGGGGCTGCCTATGTATTAATTTAAAATCCACTCCTTGCAAAAAAAACCCCACCCACAAAACTTTTAGAAAACATGAATAGACTGGGGTGCCTGGGTGACTCGGTCGGTTAAGTGTCTGCCTTCAGCTCCAGTCACGATCCCAGGGGTCCCAGGGGGGTCGAGCCCCATATGAGGCTCCCCACTCAGCAGACAGACTTCCTCTCCCTTTCCCTCCACCCCTCCCCCGCTCCTGTTCTGTCTCTCTTCTCTGTCAAAAAAATAAAATCTTAAAAGAAAACTAATAGGCTTTGTGTTTAAAGAGTAGTTTTAGGATTACAGAAAAGTGGAGCAGAAGGTACAGAGCTGTGCACCGCCCCCCCCCCCCCCCAGTATCCCCTCTTCCTAACATCTTGCATTAGAGTGGTACATTTGTTACAACCCAGGAGCCAATTTTTTTTTCTTAAGATTTTTATTTATTTGAGAGAGAGGGAGAGAGAACGAGCAAAAGCGGAGGGGGGCAGCCGAGGGAGTCGGAGAAACAGACTCCCCACCGCTGAGCAGGGCGTGGGGCTTGATCTCAGGGTCCTGGGACCATGACCGGAGCTGCAGGCAGACGCCTCACCGACTGAGCCACCCAGGCGCCCGCTGATGAGCCGATATCGATACATGATCATTAACCCAAGTCTGTAGTTCGCACCTGGGTTCACTCTTACTGTTGCACACTCCCTGGGTTTGGACAAACGCGTAGTGACACGGATCGGATCGGCCCGACAGCATCCAACACGATGGTTTCGCTGCCCCAAGAACCCCGTGCCCCCCTGTTCCTCCCTCCGTCCTGTCTCCCCCTGGCAGCTGCGGCTTACGGTCCCCATGGCTCTGCCTCACGGGGACGTGGCTCTGCCTCCGGGACGGCTCGCCTGGATCCTGGCGTGTGGCCTTGGCAGAGGCCGCCTTCACCGAGCAGCACGGGCTCCGTGAGATGAGCCCTCCCGGTGCCCACGGGAGGCGGGAGAAGCCCCGAGGCCGGCGCTGTGACAGAGGCTGTGACAGTGCCTTGGTCTGTGGGGTGAGGAGGCACCTTGCGATTTTCCCCTGGGGTCTTCCCCGAGATCCTGCAGTCGCACCTGGGCTGCTTCCTTCCAGGCCCTTTGTCACTTGGAGAAAGCTTGGCTGGCTGCAGACTGTTCCGGCTTTTCCCATTTCCTCCCAATTCCACTTGAAACTCAGAGAGTCTGCTCTTGGCTCCTGTCACTCCTTTTTCCATTTTATTATAAGCAGGGCCATCCCCCTCGGCCTCGAAAACACCTTAGCTGTGTCGTCACGCTCGCGAGCACGCTTGCAGTCTGTTTCCCACGCCACTGCAGGCACCAGCTTTGCCAAGCTTTCTGCCACCACTTGGTGACGGCTTCCAGTCCCCGAGGGGTCAACGGCCCTTTCTCTACTCCCCTCAGGGTCTCCTCGACCTTCTGCAAGGCACTCAGGCTTCTTCTGCTCACTCCCCGCCAGTCCCACACCTTTTAGGATTTAGTGACAGGAGCACAGTTAGGCACTTAATATACTTATCTTTTTTTTATGGGGGGAGGGGCAGAGAGAGAGGGAGAGAGAGAATCTTAAGCAGCTCCCACGCTCAGTGCAGAGCCCAACACAGGGCTTGATCTCAAGAGTGAGCAGAAATCGGGTGGCTCAGTGGTTTAGCGCCACCTTCAGCCCAGGGCCTGATCCTGGAGACCCGGGATCGAGTCCCACGTCGGGCTCCCTGCATGGAGCCTGCTTCTCCCTCTGCCTGTGTCTACCTCTCTCTCTCCTCTCTCTGTGTGTCTCTCATGGATAAATAAATGAAATCTTAAAAAAAAAGTGAGCAGAAATCAAGAGTCAGCCCCTTAATCAACTTGGCCACCACCCAGGCGCTCCTGTAACATTGCTTTTCTAATCAGTACATCCGCCTCACAAGCCAAGTAAGACACTGTGATCCACATTTATAGGAGCAGAAACCGAGACTCAGAGAAGTCGTGTGGCTTGTGACAAGGGAGCCGAGTGTTGAAGAAGAATCTTTAAAAGTTGGCTAGCATGTGGCCTGGGGATGTTTCACGAAGAAGCAACATAGCGGTGTATGAGTCGGTCACCGTTAAAGGTGTCATTTAAGATGATCTTGAGCCAAGAGAAAGGTTGGTACATCCTATTAAGGCGGGTGGTTATATGTTTTAGAGAGTCATCCATAAAGAGAATGAAAATACAATTTTTGTGCTTGAGCAATTAACCCTCATGCATCTTGGAAGTCACGCACTTAGCCATACAGTGGAATGGAACACTCGCTGCCCTGCCTTCCTCCCTCCCTCCCACCCTCCTCCCTCCTCCTCCCTCACTCCCTCCCTCCTCCTTCCTTCTGAGTTCTGGGAATGTTCCCTGTCCCATATGACTACAACACAGGTATTCCTGGTTCCTGGGTGCCCAGGTACGTGTGAATTATGACCCACAGGCAGAAACGAACGGTGGGTGCCGAGGGCGGGGCCACCAACCAGAGAATACCCAACCGTCCTCCCTGACTCCAGGCACGGGGGCATCTCTGACTTGAGCTAAATAAAATGAACAAAGCCAACGATTAGCCTCCCGAGAGGCATCTGGGCTCTGGGAACCTCAGGCCTCAGTGTCGGGGGACTGTCATGCGTATGAGCCAGAATCAGAACAAAGCTTGACCAGAGTGGAATTTGCACAGGTGGCAATGAGGGGTGTTGTGCTAGTGCAAGTGGCGACTGCGGGGGTGTGCGGGCTGTGCGGCCATCCCAGAATCTAGGGACGGTAATTCGTCTATACTCCCCAGGCCTGAGGCTGCTCCCCTCCCATCTTCACCACCCCTCCCCCCCCCCCCCCCCGCCCGGCCTCAGCCTCCACTCCCTGGATAAGGAGCCGGAGGTGGGCCCAGACAGACTCCAGTGTCCACTCTGGTCCCCTTGCCTGGGACCTGGCCGTGGGGAAGGTCACCTGACTGCACAGATTTCTTTAAAAGGGGAGCAGGTGGGAAGGACCCACCCACCGAGCCACATGTAGTACTTCAGTTCTCCCTGATATGTAGGAGCTTCCCGCTCTCTGGCAGGAAATAAAAATGCTTCCTGGGCGTGGTGGGGAGTAAAGGAGAGGGGGACAGTGTTCTGGTGAAGCTGAGCATACTTCCTCCTGTGTGCGGTTCTGGGGCGCGGGCAGGAGCAGGCAGGGTTGCGCCCTTACCAAGAATTTGCCTGGATCTCCTCCCCCTCAACTGTCTACACCCGGGGGCCTGGGCTGGCAAATCTGGAAGGGCTGGCCCGGTGTGTCTCCACGCGCCTCCGGCTCCGTCGCGCCCTTCCCCCTGCCTGGAACTGCCCGCCTCCCCAAACCCTGGCCACCTGGCAGATTCCTACTCATTCTTTAAAACCTTGTTTTGGAAAACAAAACAAAACAAAACAAAACAAAACAAAACAAAAAAAACCCTTGCTTTGGCACCACCTTCATAAAACTCTGGCATCACCCTCCGGACAAAATGCATCACTTTCTCCTCTGTACATTAAAAAAAAAAGTTTTATTTCGGAAAATTTCCTTGAGGATACAAAAGCAGAATTCCTCTGTTCAGCTTTTGCCAGGGGATGCACGCTGTCGTCACCGCCTGTGTTCCACGGGCCGGCAAGACGCCCGTCCCTGCGCCTGCTCTTCAGAGCCACGCACGGCACCTGGCACATAGCGGATAAATGGATCTCAGCTGGAACAGAAATGAGCCGCTACAATGCGCCCATTTTACAGATGCGGAAACCGAGGCCCCCAGCTCATCAGAGGAGTCGATGCAGCCTACTCCTTTGACTACCAGACAGGTAGAGAGACAGGTACCCGGCCCCCCCTGCCCTGGGCGACTAAGCCAGCGTCGCGCTCCCTCCCCCGGGGTTGGTCCCTGTGCCACCGCCTCCCCCCCCCACCCCCCTGACCAGCGCGCGCGCCCGCTCCACGCGCTTCCACCTCCTCCTCCTCCCCCCGCCAGCGGTCACCTGGGTCCCCAGTCCCCGCTCCTGGACCCGGGACCAGCCCTTTACGCTGGCGGGGGCTGCCGCGGGCTACGAGGGCGCCCCCTCCCCAAGGACACACCGCGCGGGGATGCAGAGCGGGGGCCGCGGGGTCCCGCAGGTGCAGCGCGGAGCGGGTCTGGGGCCGGGCGCGCACCTCCGCGGGCGGGGGCGTGGCCATGGGCGTGGCCGGACGGGCACCTCCACTGGCGGGGGCGTGGTCGGGGGCGTGGCCATGGGCGTAGCCGGACGCGCACCTCCACTGGCGGGGGCGGGACCGGGGCGTGGCCGGACGCGCACCTCCACTGGCGGGGCGGACCGGGGCGTGGCCGGACGCGCACCTCCACTGGCGGGGGCGGGACCGGGGCGGGCCTGGCGGGCCGGACGTGCACCTCCGCGAGCGGGGGCGTGGTTGGGGGGCGTGGCCATAGGCGCAGCCGGACGTGCTCCTCCACTGGCGGGGGCGTGGCCTGGGGCGTGGCCGGACGCGCACCTCCACTGGCGGGGGCGGGACCGGGGGCGGGGCAGGGGCGGGGCCTGGGCGGGGCCGGACGTGCACCTCCGCGGGCGGGGGCGTGGTTGGGGGCCGTGGCCATAGGCGCAGCCGGACGTGCACCTCCACTGGCGGGGGCGTGGCCTGGGGCGTGGCCGGACGCGCACCTCCACTGGCGGGGCGGTGCCGGGGCGGGCCGGACGCTCACCTCCGCGGGCGTGGCGTGGCCGGGGGCGTGGCCGGCGCGCACCTCCGCGGGCGGGGCGGGGCCGGGGCCGCCCCTCCTCCCGCCCCACCCCGCGCACTCGGAGCCCGGGATTAGCGACCCAGGAGCCCGCGCCCCGCGGCGTCGCCGCCACACTTTCCTGGGAGCGGCGGCCGCGGCGGCACCATGAAAAAGTCGTCCTCAGGTGGGCGCCACGGCCGGAGCGGGGAGGGGGAGGGGCCGGGGCCGGGGCCGGGGTCGGGGCCCCGGGACGAGCCCCCCTCCCTGGGCAGAGGCGCTGGCGGGCGGGCGGGCTCGTGCGGGTGCGTCCCCCGGCCCGTGTGCGCAGCCCCCGCCCCGCCCCGGGATCCAGGGTCCTCCAGGCCGTGAGCCCCTCGACGGATGGCGCTGCCCTTCGCTCCGAGGCCGCGGGGCCCGCGCGCCCGCCGGGGACCAGCGTGCGGGGTCGGGGTCGGGGTCGGGGTCGGGGCCGTCCTGGCGCCCAAGGCCGCTGGCTCCGGCCCGGCTGGCCCCGCTGCCGGCCCCGGGCAGGGGCGCTCAGGTGTCTGCAGGGGCCGCGGGGGGCTCGGGGGGCCGCCCTTCCTGCGCGCCCTCCTCACCCGGGCGCCCGCGCCGACTCGCCAGGTGCCTCGCCAGGTGCCTCGCCAGGTGCCTCGCCAGGTGCCGCCGTCCGCGGTGCGCGCGCGTCCGTGTTGGCGGGGGCGGGGGGCGCCCTGGGGTCAGCCTCGGGCTGGTGGTCGGGGCGCAGCATCCTCTCCGGATGAACTGTTAGTTACCCTCTACCCCGTGGAGCAAATGGGACCTTCCAGCGAGGCCCGGGCTTGGTACCACGGGTTCACCCCGCGGGTCTCAGAGCCCCCGCCCCGTGTGCTGGCATCCTGACTCCGCGGCAGGTGTGCCCTCACGCAGGTGGGGGAGGCCTCCCTGGTTCGGGTTGCTCTGAGGTCCCACTTCGCAGATGGGCAAACAAGCCACACGCATGGAAGGGCAAGCAAGGGTCATCCAGACCTCTGTCCTTTCTTTCTTTTTTTTTTTTTTCTTTTTCCTTTTCTTTTTCTTACCCCCACCCCCACCCCCCAAGGCTCCAGGCAGGATCCAGGGTCCTCCTCAGTTCTCAAATAATAACTGGCTTCTCCTCTTTTGCTCACCTTGCAAACTGTGCTCTTTCCCTTAATCTATTTGGACATGAAGTTTTCTGCCAAGGACTCATGAACTGATTTTTGCTGATAAGAGGACAACATCATGGGACTTAGTCGGAGCTGAAGAGGCCATTCCCGCCACCCCCCCTGTCTTTGGGCCATTTCTCAGCCTCCCGCTTTCCACATTCAGGAACTGAAATGAGTAATAAAGAATAACTTGTCTCAAAGAGGGTTACTCAGAATTTCCTTCAAAATGCCCTCCTGGGTCAGGAGCTTAGAATGCCAGCTCTTACCCCCTTGTTGCAGACAGCGCGGCCCTTCAGACACCCCCCGAGCGCTCTCCGCTCTATCTTGGAAGCGTGGGCGCGTTGATGTGATGGTGGAGGAGGAGGGGGCTTCCAGGTGGCACATGCTGGGGTTTGGCACGTGGCCTCCCTTCCTCCCCAGCATGCTCCAAATACTTGAGATGATTGTGGGCATTGCCGTGTGCGGCTCCCTCCCCGGGATCACTAGCCCCGCTCTTGCCCTAGGCTCCTTGCACGTCACATCCTGCTGGTGGGTCTGGACAGTAGGGATGATACGGGTCCTGCTAGGTCATAGGTCCTTGGCCTCTTCCTGGGAGACTTTGAGACCATCCCACATGGGTGCCAGAGGGTCTCCTCTCTTCCACGCCTTCTCTCCCTCTCCCCGCCCCAGGTAAATTTAAAAAAGAAGGATGAGGCTTTGTGTAATAAGTGGAAGTAGAGTTTATGGGGTGAGTAGGAACCAGCTCTTGTAAAGGCAGCCTCCGTGGCTCCTGTGTTTACCTAACGGGGTGGGGCCCTGGAGGATGGGAGCGGGAGAAGCTTGGACCACTTCCAGTTTGTTCCCTGGCTGGCAGTGGTCCAGGGCGGGTTGGGTCACTCTTAGAGTTGTGTGGGATCGGGCTGGAGGGGCCTGGCCCAGGGGCGGCTGGCCCCCGGCCTCCACTGGGCATGCTGCAGTTCGCCTCACCCCCTACCCCCAATTCTGTAGGGATGCTTTGTGGAAGTCAGACTGACCCCTGCGTAGCGTCAATGCCACGAAATTAAGGAAAATTTGTGTGAAAAATCCCCCAGGGTTGAAAATCCTTGGAGGGCTTTTATTCTCTGCCTAGATTGAGTGGGATCATTGCTTCTGAACCTATTTATGGGTTTGGAAATAAATCGAATGATGGTAATGGTGTCCTCTGCAGAGCTGGTTTGGAGCACTCATGAGTCTCTGAAAAGGGGGAGATTTTTAAGCTATGCTTTGGGGCAGATCCCAAGTGTCTTAAGTCCGTTTGCGTTTGCTGAGCGCACACTGCGTTGGGCACGTACTACCGGGGCCTCGTGGGTACAAAGATGATTAAAAGATGGGGGGTCCTCGCTGCTGCATTCTCCCTGGGGAGGCAAGAAGCAGACGAGACACTAGCTTGATGACACCCTCCCGACCTGAACCATAGGCTGCAAATGCTACCGAATGCTCTGGAAGGAGGGACCCCAGGCGAGATGAGTAGGAGGCAAAATTGAACTGGGCCTTGGGAAATGAGAGGTGGGGGGTGGGTGGAGGATGAAAAAAAAGGCTTTCTGAGTGGGGAGCAAAGCAAAGGCCCAGATGGGGGCTGCAGGGCGGCAGCTCCAGTGTGGCTCTTGGCTTTCCCCGATGCACCTCACCGGCGGCTCCGGCTCCGGCTCCGGCTCCGGCTCCGGCTCCGGCTCCGGCTCCGGCTCCGGCTCCGGCTCCGGCTCCGGCTCCGGCTCTGGCTCTGGCTCCGGCTCCGGCTCCGGCTCCGCTCCGGCTCCGGGGCAGCAGGGAGGCCCAGGGGCTAAGTGCCGGGCTCCTGGAATTAAACCCAAGTCTGGCGCCTCCGCGACTCGATCTCGCTTCATTTGTTAAACAGGGTTGATGCTGATTTGTTGTGATGATTGCATGATCTCGTGCACAAAAAGGCCTAGAAAGGCCGGTGGCTGCTACCATCTTCATCATTCTTATGGGCAGTAGGAAGGCCGAATGTCCCTGACTTTCCCGAGAAGCCTGGAGGCTTCCTGGTCCTCCCTGCAGCTCTGCTGCTTTGGAGGCCCGGAGCGAGGCCCACGCTTCTCCCTCTGCCCCTCGGCGCCGGAGCCGGCTGAGATCTGAACCCCCTCTGGTTTTCTGGTTTTCTGAGTTTGGAATGAGGTCACATGGACCTGGCTCCCCTGGCAATCCTCACTGGGAATCCTCCCGTGGGGCCTTACCTGAGGCCCCCAAACCACAGAAATCGGGAGCAAGGGGGGTGGGGATTGGTCTGTGTGTGCACTTGGGAGCTATTCTGAGATTCTCTGTGGCTATCAGGACATTGGCAAAGGGTGCCCCTGGCCTACCAGGGGTTAAAAAGCTCTGCACCCAGGTGACCTCTCTAGAGGCCTGGGTCGGAGGCTGGACCCCAGAGGAGTGGCCTCACAGAGATTATGTCCATGGCTGACCCCGGGAAAGTGTGGCCTTCCTCTCACCCAGTGCCCTGGGAGCTGACTTATGGGAAGAGAGAGGAACCTCCAAGAACACTTCCCCAGTGTGCTAACCCCGGGTTCCCCACTTGCAGGGTAAGCATGGCCAGGGGGCTGAGGCAGGGCTCTTCTTCTTCTCTGTACACCCCCCCCCCACCCCGTCCCCCGTCCAAGCCAATGTGCTCTGGCTCAGCTCAGGACTTGGGCAGAGAGACAGAGCTACCTCGTGCACCGAGTCTAGCCCTGTGGACTTGTGCCCAGGACCCTGGGACTCATGGACCCCCAAAGCCCCCTAGTCACCAGCAGGCAGGCTGAGCCTGAGACCCGGGGCCATCCCCCTGGCTGGCCTGTTGCAGGAGTGGGGAGGCAGGCTCAGGCCTGGGCCTGCTCGTGCTTCTATGTGACTGTGTGGCTGCTCAGAGTCACCTGCTGGCGGCATCTCCCCAGCCAGCCCCGAGGGTTTCTGAGAG